TGTTGTTTGGCGGGCCCAGGCTGGATTCGAACCCGCCACCTTAGGTGTATGTGGCTGGTGCCTTAGTCACTTGAGCCACAGGCGCCGAGCCTGAAAAGAAAATTATTATTGGACAAAAATTAACAACTTACCAAATCTGTAATTACTGGTTGAATGTGGACTTTGTTACAGTGTGCTGTCTCCAAGGTACAAGCTGCTGCCTCAGGGTTGATATCAGTGCATCTATAAACAGAAAGGGAATAAACTATGCCCATGTCCATGAGGCAAAGCTGTTACTGGACATTTCAAGGAATTTTCAATTAATTCTATATAGAGCAGATTTACAAAACAAAATTAGAATGCTTTAACAGCAAAGAAAAAGAGAACAAAGATTTGTTATAAGAAAGATGATTATATTAATGTAGTGTCTAAGAATAGAAGAATATGCATATAAACACACACATCTGAAGGAATTTATTATGATATATCCCATGAAGGAGTACTATGCAGCCACCAAAAATAAAATTTAAAAGGAATTTTTAATAGGAAAATGATCATAAGCCAATATTAAATTGAAAACATAGGAAAAGAACAAAAATGAAGGGCATACACTTGGATCATATGTGGTTAAAATTTACTGGTAATTTTTCTTCTTTTTTTTTTATACTTTCCAATTTTTAGAAAGAAATTTAAGTAACTTTTTTTCTGATAATCAAATAATTTACCTAAAAAAGAATCAAATTTAGAGAAGATCTAAAATTATAATGCTTTTATAATTATGTATTATAATATGATAGAGCAGTTTTAAACACGAAGTTATAATTTTTAGGGAAGCATAATTTGCCATCTTGGCTTTTATGATACTTAAGTATAACAGTATCAAATACATACTGCCTTCTTACAAAATTATTTCATTCAAGCAATCATAGAGCATCTTTCATTGGAAGATCTGGATAAATATGATATACTTACATGTACAAAGCCTGAGGACCTATCATAGTGGCTAGGAATGCTGAAACTACGCCAGATCCTGACCCTACTTCAAGGCATATTTCTACTCTAAAAAACAAACAAACAAACAAACAAACAACAACAACAAAAAAACCCAAAAGATTAGCATAGTAGAATTAAAATTAAAATACACTTCACACTCTCATGCTAGTTATACTGTATATTTCTCCAGCATCATCACCCACCTACAAATATATAAGGAATGTATAAATAATTTCTAACGTCTACTTTGTGCTTAATATGTTATAACCCCAAATTGCAATATTTTGGGTGTGTAATATATTTTAAGTTCATAAAATAGTTATATATTACCATAAGTGGTTTTCAATTAATTTCAATTAAACATTACATAAAAAGTATGGAATAATGTTAACACAGGATTGGAAATACTAATATTAAAGATATTACCCTTTCCCAAATGGAGCTCCTAGTTAATAGTTCCCAAAATGATATGATTTGTATCAATATGAACTTACTGTATTCTATAATTTTTAAGTAACTGCCTTTTTTGTTATAAAGTCTTGGTTGGATATTTCTAGTCTTGGAACATCAAACATCATATCCTAGGAAAAAAGGGTCCCCCATTTTACTGTTAATAGATTTAGAGCAGCAAAGAAATTCCACATTTGTATATACTAATTAGGAAAACATTGGAGTATCTGATTTAAGAATGCTAATAATAATCTTACAATGTTGTTAAATATAATAAAATCTTCATCCTACTGTATCTTTCAGTAATTTCCTAGCCTCATCAAAAGCACCAATTATCAAAGCATTCCAAAGATCAGTGTGATGGCATTTAGGCAACTGTCTAGATCTTAAATTCTTAAACAACTACCCAGCAACAAGCTTTAGGAACCAGTCCACACATCTGACTAACCTTTCTGAGAAGGCTATATCTTACCAGGTGGCTTCTCTTTGAAAGTAACTGTCATGGTCTCATAAATAATTAGAATTCCAAGACTAGAAATGTCCAACCAAAACTTTATGACAAAATCAGCTCCTTTTACAGCATACTTTGCAAAGCAATTTGTGCTTGTAAATCTTTCTGGGATATCTTGAGAATAAAAGACAAGTTATAAAACAGTACTGTTCCACTCTATATTCCAGTAAATCCCAGAGTTCCACCGTCTACAGTGAAAAACTAGTTTAATAAGAGTTGAGGCATTTTATTAGAGGAAAAATATCACCAAATTTAAGAGGGCATAAATACAATGTATCTTTGAAATCTGACACCTGTTTGTTTCAGTCTGAGAAAACCCAGTTCAAATCTTATTTAAATAAACCTAAAGACTCAAATATCTTTCTTTAAAAAAATGCAGGTATTCTTTTTGTTGTTGTTAGTTTTAAATTTATGGCAAGCATCAACTTTAATGTTTATAAGGTACTAGATAGAGTCCATAGCCTGCTACATGTATGTAACTATTTAAATGTCTTACAATTAAATGAAAAATTACGTTCCTCACTTGCTTAAAAAATTATCGGTAGCCAAACGTGGCTAACAGCGGTCGCTACAGATACAACCTTCTTTCCTTTTTGTGCCCTTTGGTTCCTAAAGGATGCTTTTTAAGTGCCGAGTAAATCAAATAATGCCTGTGACTTTTAATACTAACAACTTTAATAATTTTAAGCAGCAATGTTTCCGGAATATTTTGTTTCCGAACTTGTTTTACTATCGCTGCTTTTAGGGGAATGTGTTCTTCAACTTAACAGCTGACAGGGAAAGATACATCTGGCAAGCCAAGTAGGCAGAGAGCTCACCAGACCAGAGCAACACCTTGGCAAAGGAGATCTATCCCTATCCCTGCCACGGTCTTTACTTTCATCTAGCGGCATATTGTCATTTCTTGCGTTCTGGTATCAATCATTGCAAAGTGGGCCGACACCGCCTCCTCGGGCTGAGGGCTGCGATCCTCCCCCTGGCATCCTGCCGCCGCTCCGCAGGACACCCAAGCCCTCTCCCGCCGGGGCCCTCGCCCTCCTCGCACCCGGCCAGGTCGGCCGCCGCTGCCTCGAGCGCATCCAGCAGCAAGAACGTGTCCTCCGCGGGCTCGTACACATCACGAAAGCGGCCGCGGCCCACGTGCCCGTGCATTGGCGTGGGTAAGCTGGGCGCCGCCATCTTGTTTCTGTAGCCCACGCGCATGCGTCTCAAACGCGCATGCGCCGCAAACGCCCCCCGGGCAGTGGGACTGCGAACGCGGAGGCGGAGCGTCTATTACGGGTTTTAATTCAAAGTTTGTGGACGCTCTTTGAATTAAAAAGTAGACAGTTAAATAATCTACAGTTGTTGACATTTGCTTTCTTGAACATTTAAATTGGTTTCTTTTTGCAGAGTAGCCCTTGGTAGTGGATATCATGAATTGTTTCTAAGGTGAATTTCTACATTCTAATGATATTTGTGTAAATTTTCTTCTATTGCTAGTTTGCAAAGATTTGAAAAAATATATGTTAACAGATTTTACTATGTTCTTTTTTTCCATCATCTGAACTTGAAGCTGAGCTTTAAGATTTTTTTCTCATTTAATTTGTCGCTGTAGTTAGAAACATTGTCTTCCTGATATTGAGACATAAATGCACCTTTTATAAACCTTATTCAACCAGTCTCACTCAATGGTCAGACTCCACCATGCTCTTTTTCTCTCTTTCTCTGCTAATGAAGCCTTTCCAATCCCTGGACTGGCGGCCTGTTATTCTTACAGACCCCTGCACACACTCGACCTCTGAGCCCCTCACTGACCTTGTGTTCTCCTTGGTGTTCCAGGGAAAACTGCAGAAATTCAATACGTGACCAACAAAAGACGTCACCTTTCTGATTTTGATTCCAGTGCTTAGCGAATAAGCTTACTAAAAATGCCTACCTTGCATGTGGTTGGGAGGATGAATGTCTTAGATTATTTGGGCTGTTATAACAGGATACCATAAACTGGTGGCTTATAAACTGCAGAAGTGTATTTCTCACTCTCCTGGAGACTGAGAAGTCCAAGGTTAAGGTGCTGGCTGATTTGATGTCTAGGGAGGTCCCAAACAGAGACCTTTTCTAATAGAAAACAAGTTCAAAGATTTTTACTTACAGATCCTGGGCAAGGAAGACGTAGTGAAGCACGTTCCCAGGTGACACAAGACAAGAATGAAGAGTCAGCCTGAAAGACAGACGCACCTGGTAGGTAACTAGCAGTGTGTGTGAGGAAATAGAACATGGGCCACTTTAACTTCACAGGCAAATGCCTGATGCCACATGTACAGGAAGCTGCAGGAGCCCATTCTGCTAGGCTGGAGAGAGGTCTTTAAGTTGTTAGCACTGGCCACCACCTGCAGCCATTTGGCTGTCCCATAGAACTAGAAACTGTTGGGAGTGACAGAGGCTGGCTTTTGCTATGAGAAAGTTAAGCTTGTACTCAAAATGGACACCAAGGCAACATAAAATTATAGGAATTCTCTATACACAGCTCCTCCGTTTTTGCTGCTTTTGATGGCTGCTTGTTTGGAGCTCACAGCTCCAAAACTTCTCCAGAAGTTTCCTGACGGTGGCAGGGCCACAAACTCAGTTGTCCAATGTGGCTTTAGGATACTGTTTTTGAAAGCTCAGCCCAAAGCTGATCTTATTCAGACCTTTCTGTGACTATGATTCCTCTTAGATAGGGCATAATAAATTCCTCTTAGCTTAAACTACTGTATTTTGTCACATGTTATGGGCACTTTTTGCCCAAATTTTTGACAGAAAAACAAGGACACACACTCTATGCATGTAGTACTCATTCCGTGTCTATAGAAATGCTTTTAATTATTTTATTTAAAAGGGTTAGGGTTAGGCTTATGCATCAAAAGTGTAACTCTAGAAAGCAATCATGATATTCATATGCAAAGTAATATCCTGGAATACAATAATCAGTTTTGTGGAACTGAATAAACTTTCAATGAAAGCATTTTTAGCCAACAGAGAGCAATGTATTTCTCTTCTTCATATATTTTAGGCAGGAGCTAACAATCTAGCTGACATTTTTGGCTAATAAAATTTGTTGTGCTAAAATATGTTTTAAAAAAAGGACTAAAATTCTTTTATTATGCAAAGAACAAGTACCTAAATATAAACAAATAAAATTTTAAATTAAAAAATTAAGATGAAAGATTTTTTTCTGAAAGTTTCCGCCAAAAAATGGTGTGCCTTACCCACAGAAGCACATTATACATGGCAAAATACGGTAACTAGAGCACTTTCTATTGTAGGCAATAGAATGTTTGTTGATATATGAGTTGTCTTTTTCTAGTATGCTGCAGTCATGTCTTCCTCTATCAGAGATATTTTAAAGGGATTATTTCACAGGTATTTGGTTCCTCCATTGCTAGTGGGTTTGGGTGGTATTGGTTGTGGGATCAAGTGCTCAGTCAGCCATTATGATTTCATCTTCTTAGTGAGAATGAATTTTTCTCAGAGTCAACAGTGTCTAATAACATACTGTAATAAGGGATATTTTTACTCTTAAGAAGGCTTTGGTCCAAGCCTCTTTCAGCTTAAGAGATAATACCTCTCCTTTCTTCCAGAAAGAAGAATTTAGTAGACAAGAATTTCTTGTCTCACCTAAGCCTGGTTTGCATTTTAACAGGAACCGGGCTGGAGCTGGCTTTCCTCCTGAGATCCAGAAGTGGCATCAGCCTTTGCTGGATTCCAAGTCTCTCTTAATATAAATAAGGGGATTTTGTAGGGATCCCAGTTAAATCCCACCATGGTTTAGTAGCACCAGTGTAAATAACAAACAGAGAGAGTCCCTCTAAAAGAAAATGTTTGTTCAGGAATAGGGCATTGCAATGAGAATATGCAAGCCATGTTAATCCATGTGCATATTCCAGGGGTGTGGGAGGTAAAGGAAGAAAAAGATTTTTAAAGGCAAAATGAAGAGGATTACATAATTGTTTCAAAATGATTATCCTTGGCTACCAAGATGAATAATAAGGGTGACACCACCCCAAGGCCAGATAGGCAGTTGGTAGACCAAAGAAACTACTTGCAAAAGTATTTTTTGTGTAATTTTGCAAGGGGCTTTGTGCACTATTGTGGTTTTGCAGAGGCTTTTGTGATAGTTTTTGTTATCATGAGAGCCCGCTCTTCATGGCCTTCCCTCATTCTATTTGTCAGGGGTTTTGTTTTGTTTTTTAACATTAGTAGCTCCATTTTTGATTCTGACAGGTTTCACAATAGATAATGAACTAATGTGTGAATCTAACCTAAATCATATGAACAATGCAGCTTCAAGAGTTGTTCTAAATCTTTACAATCATAGAATTCTTTTTTTTT